GCATCTTCCTGGTCTCGAACTGTCTGGTTGCTCCACAGACGCTCAGCAACAGCCCCGGCTCTGGGCCTGGAGGAGAGAAAACAGGTGTTGCTCGATGAGGAGCAGGGGTCTCCAACCTTGGCAACTTTAAGACTTCCTGTTCTGACCAAGGCTTCCCGAGACCATAATTAAGCACACGCTTAGTCCAAACAACATTTGGTTTATTTCAACGCTGGGAATTATGTTCATTCCCAGCTGGTAATGAGTCCCAAATAGTCCCTCGAGATAAGCACCCACCTTTCTCTCCTTTGAATTGCTGCCAACAACTAAAGTGCCAAATGAATTATAAAAAATCAACCGAAGTACGAAGTCCACGCAGAGCTTCAAGGATTAATCTGAACAGAGCGAACGACTTTGCTTCCTGCAAAGGTTTCTCTACCTTTGCCTGTCCTTTATACCTTAGGGGAGGAGCAATCACCTCCCAGCCTTACTCCCGAGTTGGCCCTTTTGTCTCAGCTGCTCTCGCCTTCTAGCAGCTCTGTGCATACGCACACTGGGAACAGGCTCCCCTTGTTCCTCGGCCTCGCTGCTGCCAGACTCCAGAGTCAGCACTTCACTCCCAGATGGTCCTGGCCCCATCTCTGCATCGGACGCAGGACCCTCGTCCGAGTCCTCCCCAGACTCCTGGACTGGTCCCTGTTCTTCCACACCGTCTGATTCCGCTGCCGTCTGCACCGGCTGCCGGTGAACCACAACACTCGTGGACTTCAACTCCCAGAGCTTTGCTGGCTGAGGAATTCTGGGAGTTGAAGTCCACAAGTCTTAAAGTTGCCAGGGTTGGAGACCCCCCGATTTGGAGAGTTTATAGGCTACTTTAAAGAACAGGAACCCTTCCTGGTTGCAAAGGTGCTTTTTTTTCAAAGAGGCAACTGGATTGGACTTTCTGGTTTTTCTTCGAAGACATTTCGCTTCCCATCCAAGAAGCTTCTTCAGCTCTTGACTGGATGGGGGGGGAATGGAAAGATTTATACTCCTTGCAGACAGCTGGTCGTTTGTATTCTTTTAAAGGGTCATTGAGGCTACTGTGTTGTCAAGGAATAGAAGAAGCTTCTTGCAGCGGTGCATTTCAAATATTTTTACCACCGGTTCAGTAGGCGTGGCTTGGTGGACGCGCTTTGCACATTCACACACACTTTGCGCGCACACGCACCAAACACGCACTTTGCACAGGCACAGAGGCTTTCTGACTCACCTCCTGCAAGCCTGCACTGTCCCTGTTGCTTGAGCAGCTGCCGCGCGGCTATCTGCTTGCCGCGCAAAGCAGCCGCGCTTCAAAAGCAGGACGTAAAGGTTAGTATGGGAGCCCAGGCGGTCTCCAGTGCTCATTGGCGCTACCGGTTCGGTAGAACTGGGCCGAACCAGTAGAATACCACCACTGGCTTCTTGGATGAGAAGCGAAACATCTTCAAAGAAAAACCAGAAAGTCCACTTGGCTCTTGAAAAAAAAAAAGCGCCTTTGGGACAACTATGACCTGGATGACTGAGAATCTCCCTAGATAAACCCTTCCTAGACAGCTTGCAAATTAATGCAAACATCTGTTGACGTAACAAAGGTTAGAGTTCTATTCTAAGTAATGCTGTGGTTTGTAAATTGTGCCGCTGCTAAGTCAACAATCGCCGCACAGATGCCCAGGAACAGCCAAGAGGACATCACAGTGATGGTCCAAGGGTCATGGTGTGGTTACACAAAGGAAGCACATTCGGGCGTAAGGGGAATTATTTGCACGCAGACGTCAAATGTATCGTCTCGGTTGCCCTCTTGGCAGCCCTTCCGGCCGACATCCTGGAACCAAAATCTACTCCAGGACAGTGTTCCTACACAGAACCAGTAAAAATGTGTCCGTCTAGAGCCGACACCTGTGAGCATCAGAAGTACAGAAGACTTGGCAGGGAATGAACAACGCTTGGGAGGGAAAGCAGGCTAACATTTCTACAGAAACATATATATATTTTTGCACAACTGGAGTGGTTTTGGCTATCTGTCATGGGCTGTGAGAAAAACCTTGAGGAAGAGACCCAACCCAGGCCAACAGTCAGATAAGAGAAGTTTGAGTCCAGGGCCGAAAGGTATTTTGAGAAAGTGCCTCAAGGAACCGTCCGTGATTCCCTTGAAGAGAAAGGGAAGGAGAAGGGAAGCAGATTTGGTTTTGCAAGATTCTGTTGTTGAAATGTCTTACCACAGCCTGGGGGTTAAATTAGTTGCATCCACGTATTCGCCCCACATACAGGCTTCTCCGCCAATAACCAG